AGGAACGTTTGAATGATTTGTATTTTCAATCGAAGGAATCATATTTTTTGATTTTTTCTAAAAAACGTGTTTTTTGCAACACTAAATAGGTGAGAAAGATTTCTAGCTCGAAATAAAAATCGACGAGTCCAAGCGAATTTTTTCCAGTGCACTTATCGGCAGAAAGAATTAGTCACCAATACGATTATCGTTTGCAAAATATAGCTGCAAAATGCAAATAAATGAGAAACATACTAACTCCACCAATACGAATCGAAGAGTTCATTTCTGCCCACTTCTCTCGCAAAACAGAAAAAACTCGTTGGAATGCTCTTATCAGTAAAGAGAAATAGTCCCACAAAAAATGTTTGACGCTGATTGGTCAACCAACACGATTATCGTCTGAAAAATATTCCACGGACGCTCTGTTAGGAGGTGTATGGCTAGTAGGCGGGTCTTTCGTAGTTTTTTATCTCTCACAGGATATCATTGGTTATTTAGAATTCCCTTTGCTTGCTATCATGCAGGAAACGTTGCGATGGGATTTTCAAAATACGCTGACCGTGGAGATTTTGGTACTCGTCGCGACAGTTGATTATCAATTAGTATGTGTACCATTTTTTCTTCTTTCTGCATTGTGGTTCATAGGTGATGCTGAGAGACTGGACATATGTATATTCACATTCGTATATACACAATTTGAAAATGTGTACGCTCAAAATAAAAGCATTATTTGAGCGCAGAGAATAAACTAACGCATATTTTCAAGGAACGATGTAACATGTTGGCAACGCGGCAGAGTGTCGCGTCATCATTGCTAGGCAACATAATATATGTGGCTATATACACTTCTCTACATATATATATATATATATTAAAGCTTCCGCCTTTTGTTGGGTACTTCGACAAAATTTAAGCAAAGAGGACTCTTTATACTTTTTTTAATTCTCTCTAGCTTTCAATGGACTTTGCCATCATCATCAGGAGCTGCAATTACAATGATAATAGTAGCAACAAAAATGTAAAATGAATTTAAATTGACTCAACTTACAGTAGTATGTGAGGATGTTGCTAATTGTTGTTTACGTATAGGATGAGGGAAACGTCCAGTAACAAGGTGAGAGCTGGATAGATGGTACAATGGTCAAAATTATATAAAATATGACAAGAACAAGTTAAAAACAGATTAAAAATTATTTAAAAAAAAACATTAGAGCATTACATCGTGAAGCCACTTGATGATTGCACAAAATGGTGGTCATGGAATAATGAGTGAGATGAACCCTTTGACAGAAGGCCGAAGGTAGTCAATGTCTGTGTTGAAAGATGGAACGAATTGTGGGCGTGTGCCAAACGTTGCCAAATCACTTCAGATGATGTGATTTTCAGAATGTTATGTAAGAAATTGTTAATCCGACCAGAGGCAGTTGAATAAACTATATTTTAATTAATGGGAATTTAAATTAACAATTATTAATAAATCGACGACAATGACCACGTCTCAAGTTATATATATATATATATATATATATATATATATATATATATATATAACGGCGTGAAATACATTAGTTTCGTGTTGAAATCATATTGAATTTCTATGCGAACAAAACGAATCAGTGCAATTGCAAAATTAGTGTTGGATTTGTTTAATAAAATAATTAAACTAGTAAGGAAAAATCAAATGATGGAATTTTTCAATTAATACTCGATTTGACACACATTCCTAGTGATACGCAGACCCGAGCTTTTGCAACCATTTTATGAATATCTTGCAAAACTATTTGTGATCTTGTCTATAATTTTCTGCTTCGATTAATGTAAAATATTTTATGTTACATTGAGGATCATATATGCAGTTTATGGCCATAAAATATACTCTTCTATAAAATTCGAGTCGAAATAATTTTATCGTGTGTAAAATAACAGTGAAAACGTATAAAAAAATTTTCATTTTTTTGTATGTTTTTTGTCAAACAAATCCGAGCAGTACTTTCTAAGGTATAGACGATCCAAGGATTTGTGGACAGACCGAAAAACAGCCGGAAATAATTGACATGGTTTTTCGTGATGTAGATGTCATATAACTTCCATAACAAGCAAAGGCTTGTATTCGATGCAATATCCAAAATAATGAAAAAGCATAACCGAGTATTTCAAAAGAAATGTTATCACCCAAAAGCATTAATTTTATCAATACCATTAAAGTACTGCTTCTCAATCGCGAGATTAAGATTTCTATTTACTGGCGATATAACATTGCAAATTGCAATGTTATGAAATTTATATACCGGTGAAATTAGTATGCAACAGTTATCTGCACATGGCATTTCACTGCGTGTATTTGTTATGCAACTCGCCTACATGCTAGCACAGGCTGAAGCCTTATCATAACGTTATCTAATTTTAATCTAAAATCAATAAATTTGGTCAGGTATTACAGTTTCGCCTGCTTTCTAAATTCTGCTTTCGATGAATATAAATAGAATTAGACAATGTGCGAAACATTATGCGTTTTCTTAAATGTCAATTATGTGATATCAAAAGCTAGTAACGGACAGCAAAAAACGGCGTCAAGTAGGTTGACTCGAAACCAATATCATCCAAATCGGTGCTGCCAAACATAAGTTGCGATTTTTTCTGAAATTACTTTCAACTCTTCATACACCTTAAACTAACCAAATACGAGAATGAATGGGTTAATTATGGATTTTTGCAAAATAATAGCGCTTGAATTTTTGAAAATGGAATATCGCCACCCAGCGGCCATTTTAGGAATTTCTCAAGTTTGATAAAAAAAGATCCCAAATGTGATTGCTTGCAATGTCTAAAATGCCATGATTGGGTTCACGATATATGTACTTCTTCAGACATAATATATTGTAGCGATTGTGTCCCACTAAATCAACTGGCAAGTACCTCCAGAGCTCTGGAGATATGAGATGAATTAGCCTCGTTGTAATACTTAATAATACATGTTATGTTGTAAGGATTATATATTTTTTCGGTACTGTTGCGTCTTGTAGAACTGTTTTTTCACTTGAAACTTATAGAGGGTAGTCTGATCATTTATTTTACATCATAAAAAGTGTGGATGAAGCACGCTTTTCATGAAATTGTTTTCCCAAAACATTATATTTTTTTGAAGTTACTTCCCCCATTATTTCGACCGCCATCTACCATATGACGCTGACGTCTGTGGATATGTCATATATGAGAGGCGCTTGCCTGCGGTGTTGCCGGATTGGGCTCCGTATTTAGGGAAACATATATATTATATTAATGAAACACAAAAACAAAAACCTGAAACAAACAACAGTAGTAAAATTAAAAGTGATTCTTACTAAGTATAAAACAAAAAATAACAAACAGCAGTAAAAAAAATCCAGTCTAAGTGATTATAAAAAAAAATTAAAACAGTAGTAAAACAAAAAACAATTCCATTTAATTATAAACAAACAAAAAATAACAAACAGTAAAATAAAAAGCAATTTGGATGGATTGAAATTGTTCTTCGTTTTACTGCTGTTTTAACTTTATTTTTTGTGTTGTCACTTAGAATTGCTTTTTATTCAACATGGAATTGTTTTTTTTGTTTTACTACTTTTTATTTTACTGCCGTTTGTTATTTTTTGATTTTTATAATTACATGGAATTAGTTTTTGTTTTACTATCGTTTCTATTTTTTTTAAATCATTTTTAATTTATCATTTTTGAGCTTACTACTTTTATTTTTTGATTTATACTTATCAGTTTTTCGTTTTTGTGATTCATTAATTAATATAAATAAATTTTCAACTTTTCATATGTTTCCCTAAATGCGGAGACCAATCCGGCAACACCGCAGGCAAGCGCCTCTCATATATGACATAAGGCATTTTTGCTTCTAACCATTCTTCAGTCTGGGATTATGTCAACGAGCATTTCACGTCACATACTCAAATATACACGGTCTAAGATGCCGCCTTCTCTTTGCAGTTAGGTTGGTTGCTTGTTATAATGTGTATGTTGCCATATTCCCCCCAAATAAAATAAACAAACCGAACCATGAGAATGACAAGTGACAGAACTCGTATTCCCAAGGTTTTGAGCTAGGGAAGAAAAGCATACTTTTGATGTTCCAGAAGGATTACTTTTTTTCCGAACGCATGTAACAGGTACGTCAAACAACTACGAACGCTAAAATTGTTACAGAGTAGTACAAAGCACACTCTGTAACAATTTACGAACGCAGCCCTGGCTGACCATTTTGTCCGCTATCATTTCGTTATTGGCTGAATCATAGGCAACCAGTAATTATCGTAGTAACGTCAGAACACCAAGTAAATCGACTGATAGGCCGTAAAGGGTTAAAATAACCTGATTCACATTCTGCAGTACATCAGTGGGAACACGCTGTATAGAAAAAAGTCAAGTATATCAAGTGTGGGCATCCTTCACTCTCAACTTTTGCAATTGCTATTGTATCACCGCTTTTATATCACAGTGAATGTAATTATTGTTGTATGCCATACCCTGTTCTGCTTGTACATATAGTTATTTTTAACTCTTTTCATGATTTACAGCAGCCGCTCTGAAACGTTATGCATTTTTCATAAGGTATTTAATAACAGGTTAATTATGTTTATACAATGATAATACCATATTTACGTGCAAACTAGATTTTTTAAATTTACTTTACACGATATTGGGTTATTAGGATGTTATAGTTACTCGCGTGAGGTTTAAAATATAGGTAGTACTTGTACGGAAATTTTCTATATAGGGCGAGTTTTTAGTGTAGGCTCGCTAGATAACTACGATATTATATTTTTATTTCTACGGGGTGATTCATAATTACATGGTGACCCAAACATAATTGCGAACAAGTACGAGATTTCTCGTACGTTTGGCAACCCTGGTTTGGGCCCCAAAGCCCCCCTAAATACGCCCTGAGCTGCTTTCCAGCCAACAACGCGATTGGGTTTGAAGACACGGATGCTTCACACCCGAGATGACGGCTGGAACGTAATAAACGGTTACTCGGACTTGTATTTGTCATTTTTTTTGTCGCAGCAGAGGGCAATTTTCCTTGCTGATATATTTTTAGTTTCCATCTTGCCGTCTCATTCATATTTGTTACATAGAAGACCCCCCCCTTTCAAATGTGGTCCTGTGTCTGATGTGTCATTTTTGGTCACGATTTTTGAATCACCCTGTATAATCAGTATTACCTAAATTACAAAATATGTGAAAGAAGTAAGCCATTAACCGAACAGGTATCTGTATATCTATAATAAACTGACAGCCTTGACTTTTCATGTTTGAAGCTACAACCAAAATTCTGGTATTTGTACATATTTCGTGCACCAAACACAAACATCAGCTTGGAATAAGAGTTTATTGGAAATAAAAACGGCTGGAAAGCAGCTTCTGGTTGGGACAGTGATCCAACTAACCGTAGCCTGTAAACGTTGATATAAATAATGTCAACAGCGTAATAGAAGAAAATAGACACAAACCTTTGTTGGCGACGCCGTTCATGGTCCCATTGTGGAATGCCTGCTTTTCGCTGTTACCATCCGCACTTTCAACTATTACCACTGGCGTGGTCTTTATCGAAGGCCTGAAAATTACACGTTCATTACGCAATTCGTAACAGATTTATAATCAGGTCACAATAGACGTTCAACTAATGCAACTTCTGAAAATTAACACGTAGGTGTTTATGTGATCCATTCTCGCTTAAACTGGCCGATAAATAAGATTGGAGATGATGATTTTCGAAATACGAAAATAATGTATATACTTCGAAGTTGAGTCATTTATTTTAACAGTGAGTAGATCTGATCAAAAGAAATGTTTTTTCCTTTACCATTTTTCTGGTAAAATTAAAGTAACAAAGTTATAGCCCTTTGGAAGTTTGAGTACCGCCCTGTCTCAATAATAATATTATGTGCTCGTGTTTGGCAACAACGAATATAATCCGCCTTATCGGTTCATCGCATGGGAAACAAAAAAGCGAAAGAATTTGGAACGATGTTTTTACAATTATTTTATTCATTTGTATACAGTCAATGTCAGTCGGTAACCCGTGAGTGAATAGTGGTATCTGTTGCGTGGCTCAAACGAAATAAAAAATGGCACATGTTTATGCGGATCGGTTTCCCAATCGAGTGCAACCAACCCCTCGTGCCTTTGTTAATGTAGTACAACGGGCTCGTGAATCAGGTGACGGCATGCCGGTGCTCCAAGACCTCACGATCAAATACAGGTCCGCACTGAAATACTTGTCGGGAGGATACTTTATAAAACAAGGTAATTTTTTTTTTATTTCTACACACATATTTTGGTTTATCTTCCTTCTACAATCATTATCTGAAAATTAATTACTCAACTTCAAAGTCACCCTGTATATATATATATACAGGGTGACTTCGAAGTTGAGTCATTTATTTTAACAGTGAGTAGATCTGATCAAAAGAAATGTTTTTTTCCTTTACCATTTTTCTGGTAAAATTAAAGTAACAAAGTTATAGCCCTTTGGAAGTTTGAGTACCGCCCTGCCTATTATATGCTCGTGTTTGGCGACAACGGATATAATCCGCCTGACCGGTTCATCGCATCGGAAACAAAAAAGCGAAAGAATTTGAAACGTTTATCACGATGTTTTTCGTCAGTCGATAAATCCTGAGTGAATAGTAGTGTGTTGCGTGGCTCAAACGAAATCAAAAATGGCACATGTTTACGAAAATGCTGAACTTGTGGACATGATTCTTATTTACGGGGGGGCAGTCTTTACAAAATGCTCCCGGATGCATCACGGATTTATGCGAATCGGTTTCCCAATCGAGTGCAACCAACCCCTCGTGCCTTTGTCAATGTAGTGCAAAGGGCTCGTGAATCAGGTGACTTAAGACCTCACAGGTGAGGGCATGCTGCTCCGAGACCGCACGATCAAATACAGGTCCGCACTGAAATACTTGTCGGGAGGATACTTTATTAAACAAGGTAACATTTTTTTTTTATTTTTTTTTTATTTTTACACACATATTTTGGTTTATCTTCCTTCTACAATCATTATCTGAAAATTAATGACTCAACTTCAAAGTCACCCTGTATATATATATATATATATATATATCCTTGAATTTCTTTGGGTAGAAGGCAAAGTACTGCATAAGCACACTCTTATAACTTAAACTCGAGCTTTCGAAGGTCTATGCCCTCTTATTATTAGTTTATTTCTCGAAGGATTTTTCAATAGTTGATAGTTTTTCAAGTTCAGCCAAATCAATCAGTGTTTAATGAAAAATAATTTTTAAAGATTTCAAAAAGACATAGCTATATATATATATATATATAACTTGAGACCAGTTAGGTGAAAAAATAAAGCTTCCGCCTTTTGTTGGGTACTTCGACAAAATTCAAGCAAAGAAGGACTCTTTATACTTTATTAATATCTAGCTTTCAATAGACTTTGCCATCTTCATCAGGAGCTGCAATAATATTGAGAAGAAATAGCAACTATTGTGCAAAATGATTTTAAATTAACTTATGTATGTGAGGTTGTTGCTGGATGTTATTAACGTTTTGTCGAAGTACCCAACAAAAGACGGAAGCTTTATTTTTTCACCTATATACAGGTATACAAAGAGAGAATGATCATGCGGAGAAAGGTATGTAACAAAAATAGGAAAATAATGGGCAAAATCTGCAAAAAAAAGGAAAGTGGATTCGAGCAGAAAATAGGATAGGTAACCCGAGCAACACGTATTTCTGTTTGTTGACTTCAGCAGACCCGAAATGAACGCACATATTTCCCTCCCCATCTTCGTTTCCTCAGGTTACACTCGTATCCAGATGTATGGGCACTTTTGTGGTTGCAAGACAGACGAGACTAATATCTCGCATTCGTGATTTTTTTCTCATAATCACGTTGAATGCAGGGGCGGATCTAGGGAATATTTTGGGGGCGGGTCCATCTGATGAATTGAACATTTTTTGGGAGGTTGGGGAGGGGGTGACGGCTCAGACCAGAAGATGTCCGTCTCGGTGTATCAACGATTGAAAATTGAAGACGTTGAAATTGTTTTGTAACTCGGATATTTAGTGGGGGTCCCAGGACACCCCCCTGGATCCGCCACTGGTTGAATGCCCTTAAATATGAATCAAGAGGTTGCCAGTGCAAATTTGTCTAAACACTTCTTTTGAAACAGTCTTTTGGAACATTCTGAACAAAAAAGTAGTGATTTTAAAAAAAAAATCCGTCAAGTAGGTTGACTCTGCATTTCCGACGCAACGCCATCATGAGTTCACGTTCAGCAGAATTTAAGCCGTCTGAGAAAAAAATTGATTACAACAGAGCAATTAAACGGATCAATTCAGTCAAACAGGCCCATACGATTGGTCAATGGACATTCTTTCCCTGTCCTACCGGTGGTTAGCATCCATCTGGCAACCTTGCTCTTTCCCATATCGTCAGACGCTGCAGCACCCATCGAAGCACCGCCGCAGTACAAGCAGAACGATCAAGCAAACCGTTACGCCGGACGCCGAGAAACATCAGCAAAGTCGTTAATTCATGTTTCGGTTGATGGAAATATTGAGGAACATAGACGCTGGATATCTCATCAGACCAGCCTTGCGGTAAAAGTTACTAGGTCTAGGTTATTTTCATCATAGGGACAACGCAGGTATAATTTCTTTTGTCAATAGTTCAGCAATTATAGAAAGTTCGGAAGAAAATTTGTGAGAAGGGTGAAATCTGGGGTAAGAGTGTAAAAATTCGGATATTGGAAAATTCTTTGAAAAATTCCTGTTGGCGCATATCATTGGGAAGCTAGGATGCCACAAACACACGGATACAAAACCCCTCGTTTTGCGTCTGGGTTAAAAAAACTCGAAGAAGCAAAAAACATAAATATGATAAATAGGCACGGATTTGGGACACCATGTACTGACGCACAGTACCGAATCCCTACCACAGAGCTAACAGGGCGTCTCACCCTTCGATCTTACTATCTGCTTGGCTTTATATATACAAATAAACTAATCTTTATCGTTAATATTCATTACTCCATCATAGGCGGAGGTGTCGATAACAGTACAAAAATTTAAATGTTCAAACGTGTGTCTATTGTGACCAGGCTATAACTAAAACGGCCTACTTACTTGTTGCTTGGATCAGCGCCACTTTCTTCCTCTACTTCGCCAATGGTAGTCAACTGAAAGGACAAACTCCACTTAGAACAGTACATATCAATCCCGTTGCGATAATTATCATTTTCGGTCGGATTAAAATCGATAGCGTTTGTTTTGTGGCGTTCGTTTTCTAAAAATAGTCTCATAATCTCCGCCGAGTTTTCCGGGCTGTCCCTGGGACTGTTCGCTGATTTCGGGACGAAATCCACCAATCTGGGCAGGTTCTCGCTTTTCTTGTCTTTGCTGGCAGTGTCGACTGTGGTTAGGACGGTGGTTCGGGCTCTCGGTGGAACAGGGGGTTTCTTTGAATGTTTTTCTTCTTTGATAGGTTCTTCTGTCACGCCGTCTGATTCGTTTATGCACAGTACTGACGTGCTTTCATTGCCGTAGCTCAGTGGCGCGTCTTGGAAACACAAGGGGTCCACCTGGAATAAGTAGATCTTCATACACCCCATGAAACAGTCAGACGAAAAGTATTAAAAATAGTCCTCCAGACAGGCTGTCGAAGAAAGGGATTCACGGCATTACGACAAATAGCGTGGAAACAGAAGATATGACTTACCCCATCGACGACGTTGTTGTTCTCCTCCTTATTCTGCACCACAGGCTTGGCAGGCAACCTAGGCGGGGCGACGCATTCCTCATCATCATAGACTGCCAAATTCGAGACATCCAATTTCTTCTGAATCGAGGTAGGTGTGGAGGGTAGACTGCCAGCGAAGCTAGAGGTCGTGGTGTTGGGGACTGACCCAAACTTATCAATAACTGTGGATATTGTACTTTCTGTGTCATCAGATTCGCTCAGGCTCTGTGTGGATTCTTGGGATATGAGGTCTGT